TTAAATATTCTTTAAGGGTTCCACCGTTAGCATATTTCAAAACGAGCATGTACTTCTTAGATATCGGATCTAAAGAACATTTTTTATATAACGTTAATGAGTTATATTAGACTTTAAAAATTAATATATTTTACCTTGAGTGATTCCGTAAAAGCGAATGATGTTTTGATGATGATTGATTTTAATAAGGCATTTTAACTATAGAATGAAGTCATTTAGCGTTAGTCTTGAATTTATATACTGTAAATGGATTTCAATTCTCAAATAAAATGATACCTCTTTAATAAACTTCTTCAGTATATGTTTGATTTTTTATATAAAGGCATTTTAAAGCAACAGTTAAATCTCCATCTTACGACTCGGCTTTATATACTTCACCAAACGCTCCATTTCCGATTACTTCTTTATCGGAAAATTCATTAAAATTAAAAAACTTTATTTGTTCTGATAATTTAGCGAATTCCAGCCAGTCATTGGCATCATATAAGGGTGAAGATGACATTATTTTTAGATTAGAATTGCGACCATGTACATGTATTTGCTAACGTTCAATGTTTGACTGTCGTTTGCGTTTACTGTTACGCTACTGTTGCTTAACGTTAACGGTAATAAGTACATGTATTACTGTTATGCATGCCGAAAAGCGCACATGGCTTATATCGATACAGTACCTATCGTTACCATTATGGCTTTCTTTAAGTTGTTCGTTTACTTATCTGGGCGATTTTTTTGCTGAGTACAAAAAACATACTCAACGCCATTTTCTATACCACCAATGTCAAGCAACAGATAAGATAGATATATAAGTGGTAGTAAAATTTCTATTTCGATTTCGATTGTTGCAAATTTTTGATTCTACTATTATTTTTATTATTTATTTCAATACATTAATTATAGTCTTCCTCTTCTCGTTGATATCATCGTCGTTATTATTGATGAAAAAATTCCGTATTTGCTAAATCTTTAGCGTTAGTAAAATTTCCGAATCTGGAGAACAATTGCCGTTACCCGTACTGTTTCTAGTTACGTAGGTTGGTTCGAGGAACTTGTCAAAGTTGCTGAAGATTTGCGTTTACCGTTCTGTTACTCGCAATAAACAATTCGAAATTTTAATTGACTATTATTGAATTTTTTATAAGCAATTTCTGGTACAATTATTCAAAGAATTAGTGCTTTAAAACAAAATTATTTTAGATCTATAGTCTCCTAAATCTAAAGTCATCAAACGTTTGTATTTTATAAAATACAAATGTTTGATGACTTTAAATGTTATACGCTATACTGATGGGAAATAAACAGTATCGTAATCTAAGGTAGCCAAAATTAATAATAAGATTAATTTATTAAATAGACACAGTAAATCTCGTATTAGCTGGCTTACAACCCGATTTCAAGTTTTTATATTAAATTTTTTTTATCACAAGGCTCATTTGAATTCACAAGCCAGCTTCAGTACAAGGACCCAGGGAAAAACAATGAGTAAAAACAATACTAGATATACTTATGTGTTGAATATTCGTCTATATCATTCTTGAATTTTTTGGAGATAAAAACATGTAATAGCATTGATAATAATAAAAATCTTTGATGACTATAAATCGGAGAAATCTTAAACTTTGGCAATATCAGTATATGCTGCGTATAAATTCGTATGGTTTTATTTCTATCTCTGCTTTTGAAAAACAAAAATTCCGCTATAATGTGGAAACTATGAAAATAGAAGAAAAGTTTGTCGATAAAAAAAACGGATTTACATTAATCAAATATTAATGTTAACATCGAATACGTTCAATATGCTGAGTCATGCACAAATAGTGAAATACAAATTATAAATCCTCCCATTTTACACAACGTAATAATATAATAGTGTTTCGGTCGAAATTATTTTTCAAAATCCGAAATGTTCCGTTCGCCCAGTAAACTTTCCGTTTCGACCTAATTTGGAGACACTCGAACATTAGTGGTGGTGGTGACATTACAAAGAAATAATTCAACACAAAAATTTTCTAAATAATGAGCAAGAAACAACATCAATCTACTTTATCCAAACTTTTCACAATTAATTTCTTTATGGGTTTACCCGTAGCTGTGAACTCTTATCCAATGTCAGATTTTTTATTTAGTGAAATATCCTTTTGAAGTTGAATTATTGCAAAGTGCAACAAGCTACACGAGTTCGTTTCTACGAAAAATGTATCTTTAGCATGTGTCAACAGCGATGCTCTGAATTTTAATCTGGCTCCTGTAACCGAAACTAATTTCCTCAATATAAATTATCAAAATCATAATAATCCAGGAAACCTTCGCGACTCTTCATCCATCGGTTTCAAAAGTGCATTTCAACCTAATACCGACTACAGCAACGATATAGAAATGGCAATTCCACTTTCATAAAAACTCGCGTTTTAAATTTGTAGATACAATAGTACATGTATATGTATTTCATTATTGTTATCGTATTTAGTGGTGAAATACATGTACATGTATTTATCGTTATCTACGTCGTATGTGTCGTACATTCATTTAACGTTAGACACAGATAAATATCGATAACGATTTGTTAATCACTAAAAAATAGCAATAGTGTAATACATGTACATGTTACTATCGCTATTTTAACTTTTGGATTTAAAAGACATTTCCACTTATCATAAAAATAAATTCCTATTAATAAAAAATATGGATACTAGTCAAATAGACATGAAAATATCAAATACTGAAGAAATCACTGTTTCAGATTCAATTCTGGAAGAAGAGATAGTGGCATCATATCAAGAGATCGTCATCATGTTCAACACAGAAAAATCAAGAAAAACCGGCGAGAGCCCTGTAAATTTTCAAGAGAGATTCGAAACCATCCTCTCTGATAAGCCCGAAAAAACACGAGAAAATTTCTACGAGTTTGTTAAACAACGAGCTCACGATCTTGAATACACAATTATTTTTGCGTTTCTTTGTGATCGTGGAATCGGGACTCAAATAGACAACAACAAAGCGTTTGTCTATTACAAACAAGCTGCCGAACAAGGTGATGCTTTTTCGCAGTACAGCACCGGATTACGCTATTTTCTCGGGTACGGTGTAAAGACGGACCGTCGTGAAGCGCAATTCTGGTATCGAAAATCAGCGGAAGCCGGATATATACATGGGCAATTTCAACTCGGGTACTTTTTGACATTGGGACATGATAAGAAAAAAAATTGGCCCGAAGCTAATTACTGGTTAAATGCAGCGATGGCGCAAGGCTCGACAAGTGCATTGGATATATTGGGAATATGTTACGTAAAAGGTCATGGGCCACAAAAGGATATGCGTGTCGGCTGTTGGTATTATCAAAGGGGTGCGATGTTGGGAAATTATAGCTGTCAGTGTGAGATTGCAAAGTATTATCGTATGGGAGAAGGGGTACCAAAAGACATTCATATGGCAATAAAGTGGTTTCGAAAGAATGTCAATTCTGGTTTTTCGAAAATCTTGTTGATAGATTTATTTAGAATGCTTGAGGATTAGCATTATTATCTCGTTCTTTAATTAAATGAAAAATATTTATAGTACCTTTATTCTATCGCAAAATAATTCTTATCGTTATAGATTAATAAAAGAAATTCTTGCAAAAGGCAAATTTCTTATTCTCAATTTAAGACATAACGGTAGATGCTGACATATAATTACCCAATCGTTTTTTTTCACTTTATCAAATGAGTAATTTACTCAAGCATATTGATAAATGCTATATAATACGAAGCATTTTACCCCCTTTTTCGCGTTGCTTTTCAATCTGTGCCAAAATTTGAGCATTATCTTGAACCAATGAAGTTAATATGTACGTAACATAAAAATTCAATAGAAAGTCCCAGTTCTTTGATATATTTAATTCAATAAATTTATATTGAGCATCTTCAATGAAATGACTATTATGGTAAGTTACTTTATTCGGTGATTGTATGATATAATCTGTTGCTCTCTCTTCAAGATGTTTTTAACGTCAGAGTCGCAAAAAAAGAATATAAAGTTAATCGAATTTTGTTGCTGTCTGATATAATATTGTGCCGCAATAATATTTTGAAGTTAGGTATTTCTGGACATTAAAATTTCTTACATAAAACAATTTGGAGTTACGACAATATCGGTTGCAAAACATTCGCAAGCATGATTTATCTGAGGAGCTTCATACAATTCCCGCGGAAAGTAATGGCAGTTGGTTTCTTAAAAACAACTACGCAACAAATTTTTATTTGAAATGCCTCTAAGTTAAAAGCAACGCATGATATATTATTCTCTTTCCGCAGGATTTAATGCATTTCGACATGTTAAATATATTATATGCTATATATGGTAATATTATTTCAATTTTTCTTCGCAATTTTTACTTTGTTAAGTAAGTTATATAACTTTTAATACAATTTTTAAGCTGAACATTTTTATTAGTGGGCGAAGACTTGATTAATAAAATTGCGAGTCCTTAATGATTAACGATTATCAAATTTTGTTAAGATACATGATATCAAATGCCAGAGATACATTGGGAAAGAAATATTTTTTCTCGGTCTTTTTAAAAAGAGGCTAGCTATATAGTAAAAAATTGTCTCCCATCATTACTTTCAGCAAAATGTTTTCATATCGTCACTTCCGAAGAAAGGTGCAGATTCGCAAGGCTGAGAATCGATAAATGTGTGTCCCTTCTATTATTCTTTTAGTAGTGTTTAGTTGGTTTATAAAACAAAAAATTTCAGTCTCATTGCTATATGTACTTCCAGATTCGACATACAATACCTGTAAGTTGTACAATTTTTTCGACGCCTAGGCCATTTGCATAGTGCAACTTACTACATGTATGTATAAAAGAGTATAAGAGCAATTCTAACTTAAAAAAACCAAGATATTTAGTAAAAATCTAACCTTTAAGGTGAATATTGGCTTTTATGATTTCAGTATAGGATTTGATAGTTGCGAATCGTCTAAATGACAACTTGGTCATGTGAAAGAAAGCTGTTAAAAAATTTATCGGAGTCGGTTTTTTGATCTCAAGTCTGACACCAGATTTTAAAGCAATTGAAAGATCGAGTTCCAATTATCATGTGATTTGGGCTGTTAACTTATTAAAGTGGTTTCTGAGTCGACAGAATTGCTTCCAGATTGATATCAAGTCAAAATTATTATCGATCATTTTGATATAAATTTGCCAGAAATTACTCTGTTTAAAAACTTTGTTTTACTGAAACATAATTTTTAAATGAAAATTTGTAATAAACATTATTTCAAAATATATTTAAATCAATAAATTTTGATTTAAAGTAATGGAATTTTCTGTTACATTGGTGCAGAAATTAGAACATGAAATAACTTAAGTCATGCCGTAACTAAGGTCGCAATCCAAAATTAATATGATACAACTGGGTTGCAACCTTGAAGTGAAATGCCTGCATCTTTAGTGAGAAAAAATAATTTTCGTTAAGTTTTTAAATAGAAGATTAATATTTTTTAATATTTCGTTTTAATAATATTAATTCCAGAAAATTTGATTTCGATAAAATTACGATAAATTATATATTAAAATTAAATTCCTAAAACAGAATTCCACAAAAAAATTGATCTCAGTTATATGACTACATATCGGAGTTCGGTTCAAGCAAAGAAAATCGACTCCTAGAACCAAATTGAACGGTTTAACATCTCTACAACGCAGTTAGAATTAAATCTGTCATCTGTCATCTGGTAACTGCATCTGATCCGAAATTATTACAATCAGGTTATATTTTTTTTTAGTTATATGCATAGCTGATTTTAGACGAGATTAAAATCTGATAATTTTTGCTGTTTCCAGCGGTCGTCTCCCCCCATTAACCAATATGGGTATGCTTTTTGTCCTTCACCAAAAAAAGAAAAAAGAATTTGCGGAACTCCTGGCAAATAGGTTAACCTTTATCAATCATGCTGAGATGACGCACCACAAATATCTATGAAGTAAACAAACAATTTAAAGAAATAGAATGACCAACCGTTTCCTCTGCTTTAGATCCATAAGAACCGGATATTATTACTTTTGATACTAATTTGGTCTCCAAAGATGAAGATGAATTTCAAATGATGACAAAATTGAGTAATTTACTCGACCAAAAAAAATAATTTCAATTCTAAATGATATCGATATGCGTAATTTAAGTATAAATCATGTTGACATATTAATTAAATTTATTTGGAACATTTCAAACGAAGGTAAATATTATTTTTTATTAGCTTCATTGTCAACAAATCAATTTATTAATACTTGTTTGCATACAACACTTGTAGATGTCGTAATTAATTTGTACTTCTCTTAAAATATGTGTAAAATTATGATTACCCAAAATAATTTGGAAATTTTATTTAGAGAAGTCAACTACAGCATTCAGCCCCTATCTGTACAGCACTAGCATATGTAGCTACTGACTATTGGTAACAATTTGTATGTTCCAAACGATGAGTAAAATCACTATTTAATATTCTTTCTCATTGATTTCGTTATTTCATTATATTTTGATGATGCGTAATAGATATCATTTTTCACCAAAAGAAACAGTAACTATTTAACTGTATCCTTCATAAGTAAATTAAAAATAACAAAAATTTATCTTTTAACTTGTTAGTCTAAAAAAAATATTAGGACAACTACCAAAAGTTGGTTTATTCACTTCTTTGTGTGTAGATAGATATTTATACTATTTTATTTCTTTTATCAAAGGTATTTGTATGTATTTTATTTCTTTTATCAAAAATATAAAAGTTATTATTTCTATACTTTACTTATAAAGATATGAAATAAGTCATTATTTTTATGTTAAAATTAATTGATAAATGTGTTCAAATAAAGTATTTTCTGGTTGAGTATTCGCGTTTATTATCGAGTAATTCAGATTCTTTAAATTCCAAAAGATACTAATAAATAGACGATAGCAAATTTGTAAATTATATCGGAAGTACGTAGTTTCAATCGTTTATCTGCTTTTATGGTCTGTGACCCGTCAGATCAAACCAGTCACTAGTTTATTCGGTACGTATTTGTAGAAAACCAGATTTATTGTTACGGAAGCATTTCAGAGGGTGGGATATCAATTATATAAACCGGTTTGAAATTACTAATCGGTTTACAAATTGTTAACTGGACTGGTTTAACGTGATATCTGTATTGTTGTCGTAGCAACACGAAATTCTCTAATATTTTTTGCAAGAATTAGTATACAGTACTAGTACATAATTTTAGTGGACAAATATTATATTAGCGTTAGATTGTTCTATGTTGATCACTTTACCCTTAAATAATAATGATAACGATAATGTAGATTCTCATTTTTTTTTATTATAATTATTGTAGCACTTTCGCTTTGTCTTATTTCGGGTGAAGGGAGAATTGTATTTGTTGACTCCAAACGACGTTTTCAGGTTGGGGAATGATGAAAATATTGGTGAATTATAATTTGTTCTTCTATCATTGTTCTAACGTGAATCTATAATGATAATGCTCGTATATTTTGCTTTGAATTGTATAATAATTCTAACGCAACTTTGCATTTATATTCTCTCCAGATCCCACCTTTTGTCATGGATGTAATGTTTTATAATTTTCCAAAACCTTCTTTTGCAAGATACAGTGGCGATCATAATTAATGCAACAAAAAAAAAATTTTCGTTGAATTGAAATATTTCATGCAAATTCGGAGATATCCTTTGTTTTTTTGATGGGTTTTATTCGTTAATAGTATCGTTTTTAGATAGTAAAAATTAAATATGGATCCATAAGTCAATTATCCCGCAAATTATATGTTTATTCGATAAGTACTGTTGCATTATTTATTTTCTTTTTGAACACAACTCAAATACAACATATAAAATTAAACTAAAATACTAACTTTTTTCATCTAAATGTATATATTAGATAGAATTCGGTCCACCCTACCATCTTGTGTAGCCACCTCGTGCCTTTAATACATCACGAACTCTTTCTGGCATAGAGTGGATCAGGTTGGTACAGGTATCAATGTCAATTTCTTGCCAAACCTGTTGTATATTGTTCCACAAGTCCTCCTTATCTGAAATTTGTCCAGGAAGATGCCGAAGACAATGATCAACCTCATTCCATAAATGTTCGATGGGGTTTAGATCAGGGAATTGTGGAGACCAATCCAATATTTTAACCCTATTATTTCTAAGTCACCGTTTCGTCGAATTTGCCATATATTTAGGGTCCCCATCTTGTTGAAATATGATGTTTCTGACAGTGAATCCGTGATCTCTAATAGTATTCATAAGATCCTCACTAAGTATCTGTTGGTACAATTCAGCATTCATCATACCATCAATCTTACAAAAGTCACCAACGCCCCGGGATGTAAAGCACCTCCAAATCATCACTGATCCACCCCAAACTTCACCGTAGGTTTAATATAAAATTGATTTAATGGCTCCCCCAGACGCTTCTAGTAATATTGCTTCCCATCTGAACTGAAAATCTTAAACTTGGACTCGTCAGACCA